TTCAATTTCTATATTATATATATAGATAGAATAAAAGGAATTATTTTACTATATATATTAGATATTTATAATAATTTATATAAGCATTTAACTAAAAATCGTTATTGTTTAACTAAAAAAAGACGAAATATTTATGGATTAAAAAACTAATAGAAGTTATTAATAAAGCAAAGAGAAAATTAAATAAATATTATAATAATATATATAATAATTTTAATAGTATTTATATAATAAAAGCTTTATTATATCCAGCTTTAAAGACAACTGTTTTCAATTTAAATTCTTATTAATTGAATTATCAAAATCGGGATTGACAAGCTAAATTCGAAGTACAATTTCGTTGATTTTGGGAAACCGAATATCAATAATATACACTATCTAGAATTACTGAACTTTAAGCTTTATAAAATTCAAATAAGAATAATCTAGCAATTGTTTTGGAATAATTTTATTGGGATGTTTCTGGATAATACAAATCTCAAGAAATTGTTGTAAATAAAATAGATTCTTGGTTATACTTTTATAAGTCTTTTTATTAATCTTTCTATTAATTATATCTTTAATATTCTATTAGTCTCTTTTGATATAGCTATTCTTTTTTATTAAAAAGCAAAAAAATATAATTATCCAGATTTAATTAAAATGGCTAGGGATTTCCTCTATATTCCAATAGCAAAAGTTAGTATAGAATGAATATTTAATTATACTAGGGATTTATATTTATATCGATATAAACAACTTACTTCAAAAACTATTTGTAATAATATTTTCCTTTTTATTATTAATAGAAATTACAAAAAAAGACTTTAAATAGAGATAGAGACTATTATATATTCCGGAATATTATATAAATTACTAAAGAATCTATAACTTTAATTAAAAAGAAAATCAAAACCGAAATTGCGAATTTACAAAATGAGATTGATCTTAAAATCAAACAATTTGATAATTAGAATCAAAAGAATTATATTAGTGATAAAGAATCGGATATGAATGTTATATGTATAGTATGAGAAGAGTTTCAAAGATATTATCAATTACAAAGAAATATACTATTAATTAGAATATTATAATATCTTTTTCAAAATAATTATAAAGTCGAGTAAAATATATTAAATCAAATAAATAAAGATTAAAAAACAAAAATCCAATAATTTATAACGATTTACAGATTATTATAGAAGATCAAGTTATATAATCCGATTTATCAAGCTATAATTCGAAAAGGCAATGAATTGAAGATAATAAAATTATAATTGATAAATCTAATAAAAAAGGAGTCAAAGAAGGTTTTATAATATACTTAATAGATATAAATAGTTACCCGAATTGAGAATTGAAGAATATTTTATTAATCTTTCTATTAATTTTAAACAATATATTTTATAACCCTAATTATTATTTATTACCCACTAAATTACTTATTACCCATTAAATTACCCATTACCCATTAGGTTATCCATAGTATTTTAGGTTACCCATAGTATTTTGGATTACCCATAGTATTTTGAGTTACCATGGTATTTTGGGTTACCCATAGTATTTTGGATTACCCATAGATAATGGAATAGGTTTTTAGAAATCCTACCCACCCATTGAATACCCAATAAGGTATATTACCCACTTATTAGGATTATTACCCAGTGGGTGGGGTTCCACCCACTGGGTTTTCTATGCAGACTAGATAGAGTGAACCAGTCATTGACATAGTATACAATGTATTTTCCATATGCCCCACTCTAGTAATGTATATATATTTTCTATTACATATTTCAATATATATTATTGAATACCATATCACTAGAATTATTGAGATTGTTATTTAATATTATATATTATTGATAGGATATGGAAATATTGATAATTGATTAACTAAAACGAATGACTAGTATATGCATATCCCTTTTTTGAGATTCTAATATTTGATTCTTCAAGAATATCATTATTTTCAATTATATTGATTATAACAATAAAAGCGAAATTTAATAAAATACATTGAATTTTTCGATTTATCTTATATCTTATAACAAGAAAGTTATTATAATATAATTTTTCAATTCCTAAAGGGGGTTTTTGATATTATATGATAATAATCACTTTCTTAGATTCAGAATATTTAATATGAAATCAAATCCCTTATTTTATATTCAAAAATCATCAAATTCTATTTATTTTATTATACTTCAATTATTTCATTATTAACATATCAATTATTATTATCGAAAACAATAATTTAACCATTCATCCTTTAAATACTTTTAATATTATCGATCCTGATCATTTTATTAATCAACCTTAGCTTTTTAATAATATTGATATCCTCTCTCTATCCAGCCCTACATCTATTCTATATAACTTTTAAGAAGATTTTCAAATACTTAAACTTATATCTATTCCTATATTTATATCTATAACACTCAATATTGAAGGATTTCAAATTGAAATACATTTTATAACTCTTAATGTACAATATCGATATTCTTAGATCTGGAAATATATATCTAATACTGATTTCAATATTATTTATCTTAATAATCAAGATAAAGTTCAATAGAAATATTATTATTGTAAACAAAAGTATCTCGAATTTAATAATATATATATCATTACAATATATTTGTATATTTACTATTTAATTAATAAAATATTCCTTGAAAAAAGCATCAAAAACATATTCAAATTATTATATAACAAGCTATACAAAATACTAGCAAATCCGCTGGATTCAAGTATTACAGAATAATAAAAGATAAAGAAACTCTTGAAAATCTTCTTAATAAATATATTTTAGATCCCCATATTTTAAAGCTTCTATTTATATATTTATTTGTATATTATTCTTTATCAATAAAGCTTATTGAATATAATAAGTTTCAAACTATTCTTCATTATTTCAATAAACAAATAGCTATATAAATTCCAGATTCTCAAAAAACCTTAACTTTTTAGATTAATCAAACTTATAAAGAGAATCAATTTTGTATTAGATAGGTTTTGTATACATTCTAATCGAATATTCATTTTATTCAAGACCTTTAGATTTCCTCTAATGGATATAATATTTTCGATTTAATTATATAGTTTATTGATTAAGATGATATATTTAAAACTCTTATTCTTACTTTCAAAGAGATTATAGATCAATATACTAGAGAAAATATTGTAAAAGTTCTTACAAAAAGATTGAAAGATATAGAATTGTAATTAAATTGAAAGTGATAATAATAAATAATGGATCAAATAACAATACCTACATACAAGTATTATCTTCTAATAAGCTATTTCATTCTTTTTAGTATTCCTATTAATCATTTTTAATGTTATTTGATAAGTTTGATATAAAATAATATCCAATCGAATCTCATATATATTATCTTATATATTTCATCAATTTAGTCACAAAAGCTATAATGTTTATTGATAAATCTATGGATCAATAAACTGATGATATTTTTGAAAATAATATTAATATCGAAGCTCTTACAATTAGAATTGAGATTATAGATAAAGAATAATAAAATAAATAAAGGAAAAAGGATGCAATTAGAAAGTATTATTATTTTATAATATTATTTCAAAAGAGTTTATACAAAATACAAAACTTTATTTACCTTATAAAGAAATGAATCCCTGTAAATAACAATACTCAATAAAACTTTTGGGAAAAGATGTGTAGTGTTTTTAGAGATCCTAAAATTAAGAGTGTATATAAACGATGGTGACAGTTGTATTCTGATAATACTCCAAGAACTATTAAACTATCTGATAAAGATTTTGACATTTTTGATAAGTTTTAAAAGATACTTGTTGTATTGAAAAATATAATATAATTCTTTGAAGATAATAATATTACTTTCAATCGTATTTTACTTATACTAGAGTATTTATTAGAATACTTTAAAAAAGTAAAAGTAAGTTTTAAATATTTATATTCTATTTTCCTTTTCCTACTAAATTCATTTAGTATTTCTTATATTAGAGGTTAATTAGTTCAATTTCAGGAAGAGTATATAAATGATGTATGAATGGGTTCGAGTTGTAATAATGGATAGTCAAAAATTGAGAAATATTATATTTTGATAAATAATTCATTTCTTTATGTAGCTATAACTATTTTAGATCCTTTATAAAAGTGATTTTATTTTGAATTATCTTGGATAGTATATATAAATCTTTTAATAATTTATTATTGGAATTATATTAATAATATCAATAGGATTATTCATATTGAATTACTCAAACAAAAACTTATATAGAAGTTTACTAGCAAATACAATATCGAACTGAAGCTTTTATATTTCTATCGTTGTTTTCATCAATATCGAGTTCTGATGAGAGTAATAATGTTTTAATTGTATATTTAGAATCAAAATGTATAAATCGATAATCTATTGATGAGTATATTAAATATCTATTAAGTTTAACTTTTAATAAAATTGGTGATATTAGGAAGTGGTGGTTTGAAAAAACTCAATGGGATCTATATCCTAATCTTAGCAAAATAGTATTTGATATTTTATCAATACTTAGTTTATTGATAGCGGTTGAGAGAATTTTTAGTAAAACAAAAATCATTTGTATTGATAAACAAGGATGTTTATCAATTGAATCTATTGAAAGGTTGGCGTATTTGAAGTTTTGGTTTAATTTAGAATAGTGGATTGTAGAAGATGATATTAATGAGATTCTAATTTGATAATAATAAAAAGATAGTAATATTTTGAATAGTTTTAAATCTTTTATCGAGTTCTTTCTTTGTATTGGTTTTTGCTTGTTTCAAATCGTATTGGAATATTAATTAGTCTAAATTAGTATTAGATTTTGTCTACCTATTTGGTTAATTGAAATGTTTTAATTTCTAAGTTGTATTTCAGTATATATCCATTAATATGTACGACCTATTATACGCACGGTAGTGAGCAATATCACTTTTTATATGCATTAGTATAATATCAGTAATATCTATATCAGCCACCATAATACTAACTTACACTACTCCAATGACTGGAGTGAACAAATCTAAGTCTAAGAAAGTCGCCACCAGAAACAAAAATAAGCGTATCAAAGAACTCTGCACTATTATTTTCGGAGACATCGAGCCGAAATCCCAACTTCACAAGCCCAACACCAATTTTCCGTTCGTTAATTGCGACCCCGAGAATATCAAGCACTTGAATGAGGATCATAAAGAGTGCTATAGATTGATCAGCGATTGTAAGTAGCCATTGCTTGCATCAGGTTCTTATAAATTTAATCTAGAAGCTACAAATCATCATCGAAAAAAACCAAAGCTAACCAAATCTTTCACTTCTCCGAAATATAGGGTTCCAGCCAATCCAAAATCTACGTCACGTAGACAATCTCGAATTGGATGAGATCCTTGAACACCACAGATCTCACTTTCCAGATGAATCAACTCAAAACTTGCCAGGAATTAAAATAAAGTATGGAAGATTCTTTCACATAATTGCCACGTTGAACGAAATGGAGGAAACTGCTGCGGCAGCTGCAGCCGAAGGTATTACTGTTCAAGAGTTCACAAAAAGAGCTGCTGTCGCTCATTTTAATAACGCCGCTGCTCAATGCAAAACCAGGGCTGCCGAACTTCTTGCTGCTGAGGCCGAGTTTCGTGCTCTCGCGTCTCTACATGGAGGTTAACATAGATGACAAGTAAGTTTAAAATGTCTAAGTTTCGTAGCTCTGACCTGATTTGCAACCTATATTTCAATGGTATCGACAACGGATCTTCTAGCATAAATAGAGATATGGTAAAGGACTACTGGGAATCTTTGATATCAAGCTAAAGTTGATATGGTTTATGGTAGCGGGGTTAGAATGCTCGCCGAGGATATTCAACACCACTTAGCTATCTCGATGCGCAATATAAATCTTGTTGCAATTGGGTTGCCATGGCGTTTAGTTTAGAGTATCACGAGTAGTTTTATTCCGCAAACAATCATCAAATCAATGAAGTTATGGTTCCGACTCTACACTACTCTTTTTAATGACCACTGGATGTATTGAATACTTCCGAGGCTTCAACTTGATTGCATCTGTGAGTGAATCCCGATTTTGCCTGTCTAATTACGATTGTTCCCTGTGATAGAATGCTTCCCGCTGTAGATGAAAAAATACTGGATAATTTCCTATATTTCGCAAGATAATGAGTATTGAAATTATTTCGCTAGCAACCAGCTAGACACAATTTTAGGACTAATCGAATTTTGATTGGTTCCTACCCGACCCCTGAATACCAAAGCAAGCTTTATACCCCACCTCCACCCTACAAGGAGCCCATCCATCTGGGTCACCAAGCAAACAATTCCAAATTGTCTGAAGAAAATACCACAATGACAAGAGTCAAAGCTAAAACTACAATGAAGCGCACTCCCTTACCCGATCAAAGAATGGCCACTACCAAGAAACCCACCATCAAATCTCCCAACTCTAAGCCCACCGCCAAACCTCGCAAATTCAAAATGAGCGCTGCTTCTCGAATGATCATCTCTATCAGTAAGGACACCATTGTTAGCAGAGTCAAGGCACAGGTAAAGAAAGACAGCAACAAGATATCCAAGTCCCGTGGTACGACCGTCGCATCTCTTGGAAAGAAATCCCAAAAAGGTCGCGAGCTTCCTTGTCTTGAGCTTCCTAAGCCCGAAGCTCTCCTATATCAAAATGAGGAGACTGTAAAATATTACACCCATTACTACAACTGTGAGTGTCAAATGATTTCTTGTCATGTCATCCTCTTTCCTATTCATGTCAAAGTTACTTGGCGACACTCGATTGGGAGAAACTTACTAAATACAATTCTTCTTTTCCATGCAGATTATGCACCACTTCAAGAGTTGAAAAAGGGAAAGAACATGACCTGGAACGCTATTCATGCTATTTACGCAGAGCATTTCTCCGACAGAACCTTCCCCAAGACAGGAAATGTAATTTCTGCCGCCGCATCTGAGAGCTATCACAGATTGTGTGTAATTATTGAGGCTGAAAATGAGGCCGTTGCTTTAGCAGAGGTTACTGAAAATCCAGAGTTTGTTTTCCCCGACGAAGAGGATGATGAAGACGATGAAGACGACGAAAGAGCTCTAGATGGCCAGGCCAAGTGAGGGTTAGCAGGTGAATGAAAGCGTACTGCGAGGTATTGTACACATTCGTCCACTATCTAGGCTCTGTACTGACCTTTCAAACTAGTGCGCAAACTCCGCGAACACAAAAGTCACTCATTGATAATCGAGTAATATGATGCAGACGACGCTGGCAGCTATTCGCCGCGAGGTTCCATTTGATGGCGTGGTATAATGGGGGTACAACAACGGTACACTGGTTCATTTTGATCTCTCTATCATAACGACGCATACGGTCTCTGGATTACATTAGCTTTGGTTAATGATGACAAGATGCTTCATGATGATGCTTCGGGGCACATCAATTCAGGAATATAATGAACGACCCATTACTATATTATTGCTGTCCATCTCAAGTCACCATGAATTCCCTTTTTTTTTTTGAATGTGATACTTATCAAAACTTTCTGGGAAGTACCACAGACTCATCTCTCCAGTCGCCCATTCTTCCTTATGCAAAACAAGGAAACTTTGTGACTTGTCCACATCCGCATTTAGATCTCAACTCAAACCGAACCAATATTTCAGAGCTTGGATTATTATCAAATACCGGAAGGTTGGAGAAGTCGTTTATAAATATCATCATTCTTATGCATACTTTTCCTAAAAAGAAATTCTACGCTTCCAATGAAGTCAAGACTTTAAAAGATGTAGTTTATCAAGGCATCTCACACCTGGACTACAACTACTGCACTATGAGTATCCTGCGAGCCCTGCGTATGCCCAATTCCCTCAGGCTCAATCATCCGTAAAATTATCCTGTCTTTGTTTAGTTCCTTAGCCTCATTCTCCAATTTGTCAACTCAGTTCTTCATGATCATATTGATCAACTATTTCACCCAAGCCTCATTTCCTTTCCTTTGATCGCCCCCTTTCATGATATCCAGATCACTATTCATTTACTAAGTGTCAAATATGACGATCTCCTTTGCTTTCGGATTACTCGTAGAGTGCTGTTCGCATGTATGTTCGACTAGAAGACTATAAGTCATTGTGTCACGAATCCATCCAGAGATAAACTCACAAAATCCGCGTTGAAACCCCCGCAACTTTCTGTCTTTACCATACAGGTCTACGCTTTCATCCGAAGCAAAGAAGCAACGCTCTTTTTTGAATCCAATCAATGTAAAACATGCATCCAATTCTTGTTCCGTTGATAAGACCAAATCTTGATCGTGTTCTGATGAAATATTCAAATATTTCTCTTTGTAAGGCTGGCTCAATTCGACTAATGTAAGACACGCCGCCATCATTTCCTCTTCGTAAATATTTAAATAGAATACAGTACCGTAATGATTGATAGTTTCAAGACACTTTCCAGATCCAACACCATTCAGACTCTGTGACTGATCATCTGGAATTCGTCCAACCTTCAATTCATTTACGCCCCACCTCAAACTATTCTCTGTGAAGGTATTGTAGTCATCGAGCACTGACTCACGCCACTCCGTCATGGAGTCAAAAGAGATGAACTGCGCTTTCTGCAAGCGAGGGACTTTCGGCTGATAGGCCATATGGTCCTCATAATCTTGAAAGCAAGGATGTGTTGCAGGTGAGTGACGACGTACTGTAGGTAAGGCTCGCTGCTTTTTGCTCGAAGAACTCCCATTCTCACGTTTAGATTCAGTGGATTCCGGTCCATGTTTCGGTGGAGGGAAGTCGATCGATGTGTTTCCGTTCTGTACCAAAGTAATCAATTGAATCTTCTTTTTCGAAACAAATGAATGACAACTTACACTCTGGGCTTTCTTCTTTATTTCCAATTTTTTGGATTTCACTGAATTATCCAGCCCATTTTCCGAAACATGATTTGTGCTAGGTTTTTTCTAAAAATATGCATCGGCATATTGGCTTGAAGTATCGCGAGTCTATATACCTTTTTGATAGGTGCTTTTTTCCCCATCACAGTTACCAAGAATCCATCCTGGGAGTTAATTTTCTCTGGATCTCCAGTCGTAGAATGAGACCTGTAGACGTTACACACAAATCAGACTCTGTCTTGGGTTAAGGAGAAAATATTATCCTATGAAAGAAATCAAGGCCTACATTCTGATTCCAGCACTTTGTCTGACTCTATAGTCTTGAAATTGATATGGCTGCTATCTTTAGTCGATGACGGAGTAATTGATAATTGAATTTGAAACAACGGAAGAATGTTTTTATCAGTGTAAAATCATCAAGATTGGCATCGAGAAAGAAATTTGTTTCATGATGAGAGGTTCTCATGCAGAAAATTTAAGATGTCTACACTCTATTGACTGTGGAAAGAAAGAACATCCAAGTGAAGCGTTACTTCCTCCTTTCGCTTCAACCATTGGTGAAAATTAACCCAGCAACCCTTCGAAGGCAGAACTTATCGGCAGATGGCTACAAGCAAGCGGCTATTCGTGTCAATCATGAAAAGGTTCATTTTCAAAGTATAGATGTGTCATCAGACTTCAAATTTACTAAACTTCCATTGCACACTTTTTCGTCATTTCTTCACCTTCATGACATCTTTCTTGCTCTCATTAGCACTCCAGTGCAACCACCACTCCACGGCCACCATATGCAGTACCATTGCCAGCCATCCTGACGTTCCAAATACCATAATGATCGTCATCGTCATACGTTCTGGCGGATAGTATCCAAGTTGAACTGGAATGTGTACTTCATGTGTTGATAGCCCCAACATTGTATTCTCACATGCAGGATAGTTTCGTGAAATAAGCTCAAGGGGGTGCGAATGAGTGGTGTATAATTCACGGAGAATGGAACATGTGGTGACGGAATAAAAATCGCGGGTGTGTGGCGAGAGAATAAATCGGGCAAGGAAAAACATGAACAAGCGCATGGTGAAGATCTGATGAAATTTTAGTTCCTGACAATAAGATAAGAGTGATAAAAGATATGAACTCGATCGAATTTTGGGCCATAACTGAGAACGAACGGAGAGAAGGGGGAAATAATGGTCTTGACTTACACAACCTGTCCACCCCCAAGTCCTGATAGCCCAAGCTCGATGCTCTTCATTTCTTTTCTGTCTAATTGCAACCCAGGATTTAAGTAATGCAAAAAATACCATGACACCAAGTGTGTATACCCAGATTCTAGTTTCGAGAGTCCCTCCAAAGGAATTGTGAGCAATCCCAAGAGCACCTTCTTGTGTGATTAGCAGAAGTAGAAAAAGAGGATAGAGGTATCATCAACATGTGTTGCCAACCAGTAGCATCAAGAACAAGGTTCTTCCCAAATATCTATGCAAGTTCAAGTACTTCCTCCTCACTATCGGAAGAAACTGAAGTGGAAGGAGGGTTCCAGCAGCTAGATTCAATGTTAGCTGCAATCACTTTGATCTCCGAGTTGCTTCTGCAATGTTTGTAGCAATATTATACAATGAATTGTAAACCTCAAGCCTCACACATACAATCTGCATCATGGAAGGAAGAAATATTGCTAATCAGACATACGTAAAACACTCCACAGATGAACTTGCTTCCCCAACCACATCAATTGATCTCTAAAGTCTATGAACTCGAGTGAAAATCTGGGCCGTAATCTCCCTCCGAGAACAAAAGATTGTTGCGAAAAAGAGAAAATCGAGAACGTTACAGTAAAAAGAAGAAAGTAGATGAGAGACTTTGAGTATGTGAAGCCGGTGAGTTTCGAAAGAGACATTTTGTTGGGGATATTGATGTGAGCTATTGATGTACCAGTCTGCTATTCATAGAGAAACTTTTTGAATAGAAGTTTGGAGCTTCAGGATATAACGACGACAGTAATGAGTAAACAAGGAGTGACAGTTAACGTGAGTATGTCTTATATAACCTAAATATCTTTCGCCGACACGTACAATTTCAAACGAGTACAGGGAGACGTATCTTTTAGCTTAAGAAATTAAGTTGAGAATTGGCCCGTGCACTTACACGTCTTATTCACAATCTGGAGATGATAAGAGAGAGCACATATCATTCCTCGTCTTGTACCTTTCAATGGTGTTGGGTTGAGGACTTCTGTTCATGAGAATTTTGCTTGCTATCAAACTTGGTCAAGCTTATCTCACTTGCTACACGTCTGGTGCAGAGGTGAAAACCTTGGTGACAGGAATAGTCGCGAGCTTTTAAGAACAACTTGGATGCCAGTCATGATTGAGGTTCGTGAGTGCAGATTGAGAACCCCTTGCAGAGATATCTGGATACCAGCAAGTTCTTGTGCTGAGATCGATTGAATCATTGTTTCACGTGATATACACGTGATAATAGTGCTAGCGCATACCAAAAACTGATCACAGTCTTGAGCGATTTTCTTAGCTCCATCAAAAATGGTCCAAGGCGCGCCCAAGTTCAGTACCCATGTATTGGGGAGAAATTTACAACTCGCGTACCCCTTAAAATTTAGATATTGGAAATGCAACAGTGAGGTTGTAAGAAATTCTGTGCCCAAGGTCGATCAGAAGATTCCTGATAAGCTTTTCATGCCTCTCGGAAACTCGGAAGTTAAGTCAATTCTCATCGTCATTCGACTGTTCGGTAATTGATAATCCATGACAGGCACACTGTCCAAAAAACTATATTTGGCATGTTTCAATGGAGCAACAACAAGGCTGGGACTGATGCACACACCAACACATGTTTTCTTTGTTGGCTTCGTATCTTTTGAATCCACTTCCCCCCTAGAGATTCTCTCTAGGAAACACCTTGTTCCGCCTAGTTTTCCGAGATTGGTTATCCAAGCCGAAGAGGACGCGAATCTTGGCGGTTGTCGGAAATTAAGGAGATTGAACGATACGAGCGGAGAGATCGGATGAACCGTTGAACCTTCAAACCCACATCGTTAATCGATCACGACTATACAACTCCGCAACTTCAATTGCAACGAAGCACTGAAGATATTCTCGAATTGTGACTAATCACGTAATTGAATTTTCCTTTAAGCCTTAAACGTTTTCAATAGCCATATTGAGGGCGACATAAAAAGGTTGGGGTTGTTGTGGACCACATATCTATTTATGGATGATCATTTTGCATGGTTACTCCATAACTTTAAGAATTTATCGTATATCCACTAGATCCACCAAACAAAGTATACACGATGTCAACGATGGCCTGTCCAAGTGGTTAGTGCCATCAACTTTCTTATTTCTATTTGACATTCCCATGTTCATTTTTATCGTTCTGTCTATATCTTTTTTTTTCTCCTTCCAACTTATCTAGTCTGTCGTTTCCAGTCGAATATTGCAACCAAAACAACTACTTTCGTTAACATAATCCGGCGTTCCTTGCCAAAATGAGGACTACTGTTTCTTCCATTATCAACCTGGGTTTCTTGACTCTGGTCGCCGCTCAAAGCTCGAGTTCCAGTGCTACATCTTGTGTCTCCTCTTACCAACTGTGTTTGGATGAGGGCGGAGCCGACAACACATGCCAATCCAACAATGCAAAGTGCAAGAATTCATGTGCCGACAGCTATGGATCGTGTCTTTCGTCGTCAGATACATCATCATGCATGAATTCCTATAATCTTTGCTTGAACGACTTCACCATATTCACCACACCAGAGGATTCGGCTGGAAAGGATTGTGCATCTCTTTTCTCGGCTTGTCACGACTCGGGAAAGGCAGACAATACTTGCAATAGCTATGCAGCTCAATGTAGGGTGCCTTCATATGATAAGGTTGTAGTTGGAATAAACGACTAACAGTACCAGGCAAGGACAAATGCAGCACAATTTATGCCACGGCCCTCACCAGTGGATCTTCAGACTCCTCGGCAGCCAGCACACAGTACAACAACTGCCTTGATTCTTTCAGTGTCTTCTCCACTAGGGAATCTTCATCTAACCTCGATTGGTAAGTAAAATCAGATCAGACATTATGAAGTTCTCCTCGCTTCTTCGGTCCCCCTTTTCACACTTCGTAAATATGTTGTACCTTGCATATTACGCTTTGCTATCTTTATGCGCGACTTATGTCTCTTGGTTTCTCAGAAGATTCTTTGTATTGAAAACATACTAATCTATTGATCTTATAGTGTATCCCAATTTTCGGCCTGCAGAGCCAATGGCACCGCAGATAACACATGTAACTCTTACACAGCACAGTGTAAAGTGAGTACCATTATTTCTTTCACGTGGGCGTTGTCTACCGGGAACTTCCTCTTTCCAAGTCTTGTGTATCCTCGCACGTCTCAAAACTCTCATTCAATTCACGTCTTATTGTTCCCCTATCTTCAATGGATCTCCTTCATGTCCGTTCACTCGAAGATTCACCTCACGCGCAGACCTGAAGGGTACCGGTCAACGCGAAAAGTCATGTGGAACAGGCAGTTGTCCTTCTCACACCCCTCATCCCTTCTGCCCTTTGAGACAAAGCCCCTTTCATTCTCGTTTCGAGAACCTATTAGAGTTTAGCATTTCTACGGCCTATTCCATTCACCCGGGCCGATTTCTTGCTTGTTAAGAATCGATGTTTTTGATGGCCAGTGACTAACTTGACGTTTGTATAGGACAAGTGTAGTGGAATTTATGGAATTTGCCTTAGTAGTGGAAGCGCTGATGATTCGTTATGCATGAATCAGTATAACAACTGCTTAGACTCCTTCACGCCTTCAACTGCCCTAGATTGTGTCAGCAGTTTCACATGTAAGTCAAACTGTTCATTGCTTCCATGATAGTCACCTATAACCAGCAACGCAACTCTTCCGAATAGGCAATTACTAACTCCAAACTTTTACAGTATGCCGAAATGAAGGCGGCGAATCCAATACATGTGCTTCTGAATCAGCAACTTGCAAGAACGACGCCAGCATCAACTATTCCACATGTCTTTCTAGCGGTCAAGCTGATGAATCGGCATGCTTGAAACAATACGATTCAGCTCTTGTCCAATTCAACACTACCACCTTGTTGAATAATACCGACTGTGTTTCCAGATTCACCGAATGTGAAAATGAGGGGAATGAAGACAGCTTATGTCAAAGCAACAACGCCGATTGCAAGGTTCGTAAAGTTCCTTAACCTTTGCTATTTGGAAACTCCTATTCTTCGATATGCACCGAGAATATCACTGACACCAAAATGTTAATGCAGACCGATTGTTCCACATCATATTCCACTTGTCTCAGTTCGGGTGACTCAGCTCTATATGCTCCTTGCTTGGAACAGTACAATTTCTGCCTTGTAACTTTCGCCTGGGAAACCACCACTACCACTACTGGCCAGGACTGTGTTTCCAAGTATATGTCATCTACCGGAGAGGACAATGCTCGCAATGCTGAGGCAGCTCAATGCAAATCGTAAGTCTCAAACTTTAGTTGACATGTTATCGTAAGCCACAGGTTACTGACTCTCTGGTTCTTAGTGCGTGCTCTACCAGTTATTCAACCTGTCTGAGCTCCGGTGACGAATCCCTCGAAGCGCCATGTCTTATGCAATACAACTCGTGCCTGGTCAACTTCAATTCCACCATTACCACCCCGGATTGTGCTTCTAGTCTCCTTTCTTGCGACGATGCTTCAAACTCTTGCGCTGCAGATGCAGCCAGTTGCAAAAACACGTGCTCCGTGGCTCTCGATATCTGTCAAAGTTCTGGTGATCCAGCCCTCACCGCAGGTTGTCAAAAACAATATCAGTCTTGCCTTGTTTCTTTCACATCTGCTACTGCTGTCATTGGAGAGGATTGTGTGGCTTCATTCACTGGATGTAGAAATAATGGTGGGGCTGACAATACTTGTTCTTCGGTAAGAATAATTCTCGTGAGAAATCTTGATTACGGAATATCACTAACATCGTCATAGGAGATGGCCAGTTGCAAAAACAAGTGCAGCTCCGTTTACGATATCACCGGTACTTCCGCTGACAACTCAACCATTACTGCATCCCAAGCGCTTCGACTCTATGATTCATGCCTCGTATCTTTCTCCTCCAACGACACCACTCCTACCGGTCAAGATTGCTCTTCCAAGTACTACGCCTGTTCGCTCGCTGGTCTCGAAGCTCCAAATGTCTGTAACTCGGAGTACGCAACTTGCAAAAATGACTGCGCAGTCATTCTCGACACGTGCCGCAGTTCCGGAGACGAATCCCTCGTGAGTATGTGTGATAGTTTGTACAACGGCTGCTTGGATCCTGTTATGAGTAGCAACATTACCACGAATGCGACAGTTGCGATTAATGCTACAGCAACTTATGTTTTACCTACCAAATCCGCCTTCTTCAATTTGACCGGCGCATACTCAACAATTGTTAGTAAAGCGAGCACTGCGATCGCTAGTGCATACATTAGTGGGGCTCCATCGAGTGCGACAAATGGTACTGGACATTACACGCAAGCTACATCAGTATCCACTGCGGCAATCTCCACCGGCGTCAGTTCTGGATATTCTCTACCAGCAGTTACTATTTCCGCCAGCTACCCATTGAGCAATGCCACCTCCGCATCAAACAGCATTGCTTCTGCGAGCACTACTTCTGAATCAGCTATCACGGTTGAGACTGGAAAATCGAGTGCAGTAGAGAGAGCGGCTGATGGAAACACCAGCGATGAAGGCGCTGATGATGATGCATGCGAGACCTAAATCCATAGAATGATGCTCGATTTAGCATATGTAATATTTATGAAGGCTATGAAATGGAGGATATGTTGAAATTGTATATTCAAATTGGAGGTTCTTTTTATCTCTAGCTTGAAGACGTGTAATGATAATTTTTGGTTACGCCTTTTGAAGTGATTGTCCTTGAGCAGTGTCGCCAAATTATGTCTTATAATGTTTCTCGAGGCGTGCTTGCTGTGATTGTGGATCAGGGTTGACAATCGTGATAGTACTCGAATTGCTAATTACGGAATAATCTGGCCTTCGATCATTTCAGCCGGTGTATGGAATTCAGTATCAAAAGGTCTTCTCGTCTCAAAGTGCTCGAGTGTTTTGAGAGAACAGATGAAAAGCATATGTCATTGGTGAATTTATAACTACCTACGCAGGTAATCAAAATCACATTGTGTTCCCAGGCATCCCCAAGAAAGCTCTGATAAAACCATTACGCCGATTTTTAATGAAACCCAAATCAAAGGATCAAGGATAACTCGATCAAAATTCAATAATAGAGCCATCAATTCTGTGCTCTCCCCCCACTCTGACTCGTCTTGTATCTCTCCCACGCCGCAATGAATTCATCTTTGAAATCCTTAACATTTGAAACCATCGCTTTCAAGTGTTTATAAGTAAGTTTAGGTCTCTTGCCTCCTGCTTCAGCTCAAGCAATCCCCACTGCACTCGTGACAATGTTGCGAATTTGTCTGCCATCCAATCTCATCTTCACCACATCATCTGTGAGCCATTCGGTGATGAATCTCATGTCATCAATCAACCCTTTTTGTCAAGCGGCTGAAGAAATCCGTTGAATATAGCCAGTGCCTGGTCTGGAGTGAGTTCTTCGTATTTAAATGCTACATGGATACGAGACTTTATCGCCACGTCAAATTGTGCGATTTGATTGGTGGTAAGCATGAGAATTCCCTGGTAGTATTCGAGAACGCGCAGAAATACTATATTCCACAGACACTTAGCTAGGCTCGGTAGTGTATTGAGACTCTCCTTGAAATCAGATACGTACCGGAGACGAGCGAATTCCTCTCAACGTTACTGGCTGCCCCTTGTCCTCTGCTCTCAAGGAACACGTCTGCCTCATCGCTAGATTCCTTAGAATTTTTGAAATTTGGTCACACGTTCGATAGATAAACTTACATGAGCAGTATAGCTTGCCAGAAACTAGCCAGCGAGAATATTTTGGCGAGGTTCTTTTCTACCTTCTTTGCTTTATCTCCCACATCTGCTACACTTATAGAGAATAGAGGCTTGCGGGCGGCAATGGCAACTGTCTCTGCGGTGGTTGTTTTACCTACACCCGGTGGACCTAATATTAAAGGAACTTAGAATCACCATGTCAATACTTGAAGATGTGCTGGACTCACCGTATAGAAGAATAACCAATCCTTTCCCTTTTTTGGCAAAAATATCATCTACCTCCAGCTCCTGTTCTTCGCCTTCCTCCGATTTCGTTCCATGACTAGTCACCAAGTTCAGTATGATATTTTTGGTCAAATCTCCATCCTTTAAAACGAGCCTTTCAGACCATGAATTACGATAGTCATCCCTAGGAATGTTCTTGAGGCATGTGACTTGTAATTGAGCCCATTATTTGTCGTAGAGGATGTAACCCAGAACCCTAGGCGGACATAACATATACTGCTCATCATGCCATGCGCCTTTCTGATGAGCTTCTTCGTCAAATCTAGTCCTTAGTTTCTCTCGAAGAGGAAGGTTTTTTTGGCATGCATGGCATCTACATTCATCGAAATTGAGTTGTGGTATCAATGCGCCAATCCGAGCAAAGGCCGGCCCATAACGAAAGTAAGATTCAAAATCGATCATGACTCTGCCTTCAATCTGATAAAGTTGTCAGCCCCAGATATTTCCATCGGTGAATTGGTTCCTACATTAACCGACTTTGAATTCGCCGAACTCAAATCTGCTAAGCATCGGTTGATTTTCTTCCTGTATTCGGACGATAATTGAGATGGATCGTCCTGGAAGCCAGTTAGATGTGACTAAATTGCTAGCAAAATGGAAGCTTGAGGCAAACCCTGTCATCATCATCCTGAGCGTTTAAAAAGCCTCTCTGTTCAAATATTGCTGGTCCCCCATAATCAAACATACGGTCTGCATTATTGGACATGCAATAACCTCGAAATTTTCTGCCTCTCTCAATCAACCTTCTTTTCACTCTCAACATCGTCATGAAACTTAAGTGGAAAAACGCTCAAGGAGGAGATCGCTTTCTGACCCTCGAAGGCCTCTATTTTAAGTATTGCAGGGGATTGCTTGAATATTCTTCCATTCCAGTCGTACGACCAGACTGTGAGTTCCCAGTATCTAGGACGTGCATTTATTAGTGGCCAAAGCCATTCGCTTTCGTAGACAAGAAATAATTGATCTTCACCTTGGAAAAAGCGACCATATACCAGGGTCCCGGGAGCGAAAATAGTCCAGAGTGTTTCATACGTCACTGTTCTTTGGTCCATGTTGGATTTACGGCTTTTGAGATACTTATCGAGTTTCGCATCCCCTGAGCCACTACCTATTGTTTCTAGAAGAAGTTTGAGATCAGCACGTGCTTGTTTCTCGACCGCATCTTCTACTTCTTTTTCCGCTGCGTTATTCAAGTCATCCCAGTACAGGACAAGAGGTTCGTAAAGAGAGTAAAGTAGCACTGGGGAGCCATCGAAAACATGGTCAAGCCAATGATTAAGAATCTGCTTGAGCAGATTCCATAGACCATCGCTTGTAATTTCAACTTGGCTGTAGTTCCCCTCGTTCTGATCCGGATCGGCAATAATCTTTCTCAAAATAAAGGCTTGAGACTTTTCTACAGTATCGGAAGGTGCCGATAAAATGGGCTCGTAAGCAGGTTGGTCTTTACGCTCTCCAGTTTCCGTGTCTATTCTGCTGATTACGACCTTTGCACGTGAAGGAGGATGACTCAGGTCAATTAACACTGGTGGCTAAATAATCGTTATTTTCTGTCAAGTCCAAGAAAGGATTTATTGACCTTACCACAGTCTTTTCCATCCTGTTACCTTGAGTCATGGTACATGGCGGAATCTAACTCACAGATTAGCTTTATCCAAAATAACCGCACTGGAACTCAAAGGAGCCATACTAGACCAGCCCCGTCGGACGCTACTATTTTCAAAGTGCCTAAGGCAAGCGATTTGGAAATAGAACTCTCTTCCTGGAGTTTGTTGAAACGTTCTTCCAACCCCGAGTACTTTTCCTCCAGAGCAATGAACTTCGCCATCAGAGGCTACGTTATGTCCGAAGTCAGCATTATGCCCCTTGAATTAAAATGTTAAAACATCTCCAAATGGCCAAAGCTTACGGCTAGACTGCCAGGCAAATCTTCCTTCCCCGCCATCTTTTTTAAAGTAAAGGGATATGTCGTGGTTCTTTGGCGATCAAGGCTCCTGTGTTCTGAGCCCTGACTTCGGGTCTCCCTGATTCGGGATCTTGTCACTTGATATAAGCATATTGGGTCACTGTCAGAATATGATTCTACTCTCTCAAAAATATCTGGGCGTCGTAGACAACGATTTCCAAGGTCGAACCCACAGGCTGTGGGCTACACAGCCTGCTGCAATGCTTTGAGCCGCACAATGGTTTCACCAAATAATTAATGACTTCTTACCATAGGCTTCAGATTCAACGAACGAGGCTCGGTATGACTCGAAAGACGTCAATGTAACCTTAATACTTGGAAATGATTCCTTTGGTTGGTTCATCTTGATTTTAGGAAATGGTGCCAGGTTTTCACCAGTCAGCACTGTCATTCAATAATCTGCATGTACGTCTGGCCGCATAGAATAGTAGAGGCTCTATGGTAAAATGGAATAAAGTTTCACTTCCTTGGCAAGTGGCCAGTAGTTACGGGGCAACAAAATATGACATTGATCCTTTTCGTGCCACCACCTGATGTGGTAGAAGAATCAGACTTCAGCATGCCAATTCAAAAAATGCAGTGCCTCAATCTGAACGCCCTTTTCTTTCTTTTTATGTAATATTCCGATGATCTGATGACCATTCACTACGATGGCTCATGCCTTCTAGATGAAGTAGCCTGATGATCCCTTCCCAAATTACGAGGCAGATGCAACTATGTGATCGTTGTACGAGAATAGCTCGCAGTGTGATAAGGCTGTATATGCAGTAATAGCTGCGGTGGTCAACAACACAATCCTTCGAACAAAATGAGTCAGGGTCTACCAAATCATTTGATCTAAATATTTTGCTTTGCATGTTCTAAAACCCTTTCCAAGATACAAAATCTAGTCTCATATTACGAAGCTTCATTGCAGGTGGGCAGCACGATGGCTCATACATCATCTCAAGCTGGGAAACGATTTCGTGAAGAAGACCTGTGAGTGATTGCGTACGTCTCCCCAGGGAAGGATATATTAACAAGTCCAGAAATAAAATTGAAGCTCTGGAAAACAAACAATCCCAACTGAGAGTCTCTGTATTGAGAAGCAAGAGATACTCCAAAAACGAGAAAGAAGCCGTCAATATAAGTTCAAAAGATAGATTCGATAGTGTTTGGAATCAAGTCAACCATGAGAAGACAAGGTTTGACGAGAATCACGAGAAGGGTTGTGGATTAATCTCAAAGAAATGTCAGGATACGGGTGTTGCTATGCAAGACTTCATGAAAATGTTTTCTCCAATATTGGAAATCATCAAGACTTTTGCCAGCCCTTATGTTACCGTCGCATTTGGCACTATTTCTATCCTTTTCGTTGTGAGTTTTGCCAGCCCTGGAAGTATTTCAGCTAATCTGAAATGATTCAAAGATTGCTCAGAGTAAGCATGAATTAGAACAGCAAGTTAGGTCGACCATATCCGCGATCAAAGATCGTTTACCCGGTCTGCAAGTGTATCAGCATATTTACACCGACAAGAAAGAACTTGATGTCAAGCTGCAAGGACAAATCGTCATGGCTTATCAAGAGTTTATTGAGTATTGCATTTTGGCCACAAGATACTATAAAAAGTTACCAATAAGTGAGTAAAACGCTGTATCCTCGCATTCTGTCAAAACACAAAAGTAATTCCATCAGAAAGGTGGCTTAATGCCATTGGATCGCCAAGCTACCAGAAACAGGAAGACTCAGTAAAGAAGGTTATCACAGAAATACGGCTTTCGTGCGAGGAACTTCTGCACAACAGGGTTTTCGAAATCAAAAGAATCAATGAAACAATTCTTCTGGAAAATAAAGGTATCCTTGATCACCCTGTCCAAACTGAAATACACTGACCAGACAAGACCAGACTCTAAAGTTGGAGGACCAAAACATCAAATTGAATGAGATGACTAAGCGCATCAAAGGCAAGCCAATACCTCAAAGGATCTGTTAAAAATCGCCCAACAAGCGTGATGAAACACAGAACTACAGAAAGCAAAACAAGATGGTCGAGTACGAACCTTTCAGAATGCTCTAGAGCTCAGTTCCTTCTCCGCAGAATCTCACCGCGACAAGTTTGAGAAGTACTGCGAAGATCTGAATTCAAACAGACAACTCAATATGCACTATCTCCAGCACATGCAGGGCGAAGAACTCCGATCATTCAAAGCAGGTTTCGAATACCAAGCGTGGAAGGTTTCCGAAGAAGCCCAGATCCTGCTTTTGTGGGGCTACAATAACAATAGCATCCTGCAGGAAGTCGAATGCTGGCTCTCCCCCATAGCGACGTCTACAATACATGAGCTTAGCCAGAACGGGTGCTACTTGGCTTACGATATCGTGATAGATGGAAAGCGCGCCCATGAAGTTCTCTCTTTAATTCTTCTTCAACTTCTGAGATTGAAGAGTGATACTCTAAATGATGAAAACCAATACTCAGAGTTGAGTGGAGACCTAGAAACATACCGTCTTATCGGCAGTGATGGCAAACATTCGAACGAGAACGACGAAGCGAAACTCGATGTCCTGCAGAAGATCGCAGCACGAATCATAGGTTTCTTTGAGCCTTCCGAAATAGTTTACATTTTCATCGATAGGGTGGACCGATGTTCACGGAATCCACCGAATCATCGAAAAGCGTTGTTGGATGCGTTGGTCAAAATGGTAGAAGCTGCAGATTGTAAGCTGAAGGTTCTAACCGTGATCAATGGATATTATTGGGAGTCGCGTTATTATTGCCTTGAAAATAGGAGGGGTAAAAGGTGTGTTATGGAACAAGCATTGAAGTTCTGATTTTTTGTTCTGGGAGTTCTAATAGATAAAGCAGTCTGATAGACCTTGCAGATTTCCTGCTTCATAAACCTCCTCTCATAATCTTTTTAGGTATAATTATAGATAATGAACTCTGAGCCGCATATGACCTTACGTTGAATATAGAGATTGATAGCAATGAAAGCAATGGTATAACAGCTAATTTCACGCACTCCTAACACCTCATCAATCTTAGGGTGGATAAATTATATTTCCTATAGGGCTCTTACACTTGCAAGAATTGGGATGGCTCTTCTCCTCTACATACATTATTTCGCGATAGAGTCGGTCAAAAATTTAATAAATACCATTTTCAAAATCATAAAGGAGTAGATGACAGCCCCTAAGAACTATGATGGATCTCTCGAACAGATGTGTAAAATGAATGTACTTTTGCAATTTCAAGAGCTCAGATTTGTGACGAGTCACATTATCTAGTATATAGACTCTCTTCTTTAAGATCTTTCGATCTTAAATTATCCCTTTTGGGGTTGTGTGGCCTAGTGGTAAAGAAGAGAGCTTTAGGTCCGTTACAAGATTGAGAACGAGCGTAGGTAAACGCTGGATAGCATGTAATATTAAATAAGAAATATTATACAAACAAGCATCTAAAGTCACCTTATACTACTACTAGTCATTTATCCAAATTACATCAAAATTCATTAAGATTCTCAGAATATATTTATGATTTTAATATTATTAAATCTAGGCTTTGTTATGAAAATTGATATAATTAGATTAAGAATCAATCGAAATATATATTAAAAAATTTATAATTTGTTTTTAGTGATTATATTTATTCAAAAATATCGAATTGAAATTCGAAAAATTGAAATATTTTAAAACCCCTAAAATTTACTAGTAAAATAAGCGAAAATCACAACTTTTATAAATAGAGTTTTTGTTAAAAGGAATAGAAGTTACCGGTGCTAAGCACGTGTAGTGATTAGTAATACGGTTACTTAAACGGGCTAGATTAGACGAACCATAGACAGGCATATTAGTCACCTCATATAATACTATGAGATGATCAATATGCTTATACGCGTAACAATATAGTCAATATAGAGGCCTCTTCCACCCAATCTTCTAATAGTTTTCAATGATATAATTAATAGTTTAAACAAATCTAAAAAGCTTGGAAAACTTAATTTCATTAAATATCGATATCGAAATATCATATATATTAAATATTTGAATAAAAATATTGATTTAAAACTATTAATTTTATAAATAATAAAAACAGTGAAATAACTGTTTTAGGTGTGATTTTAATTAGTAGCTAGTAGTAGTACGTTAGTATTATAGTACTAGGGTATAGATAATAGCCGATCACTCAAATCACATCAAAGAATAGCGATTTACTATGTTTTGTATATTATATTATTAATATTTATAAAAGTTTTTTTGGATGAAATTTTCGTATATATATTATTTATAACGTGGTTTATCATCGAGTGGGCTATATCATCGAGTGAGCCACTGTTACGTAAGCGGACACAATAGGAGTTGTAAGCTTTACTACTACGCCACACACGCAATCTGTCCAAAAGGCACAGTATCAGGGATTGTTTCCTGATAGCTTACTACTATATATATATCCATACTGCGCCTATGCGCCACTCCGCTACTCAGCGGAACCATCGTTCCGGCTGCTCCTCTCGAGCGGCCCAATAGCCGAATCCTCCGCTCCCATGGAGCACCATCACACACACACCTGCTTCTTTGAAGCAATACACCTGTACACACTGCTCCTGCCTATATGGTTTTATGGCAGGAGTAATCATACAATCAGAGCGCTCCTCTCCACGAGTAGCAGGAAGCGCTAGGAATATAGGGCCAATCAAACAGCCCTATTTGCGATCATTACACTGGCTTGTTTAGGATATATAAAAGGAATTGGGTTTACCCTATAAGGTTTTACTAGTGTACACATCAGCGCCTTTCTGTATTTATAACTCTAGATCTAGCCACGTCTTTCATACCCCTAGGGAGATCCCTAACAAGATGTTAATCACTATAAATAAATAAATAAATAAATATATATATCCATATAACAGCCACTTCAAAATACATCAAAATTAATACTTTTTTAATATTTTTATTTTAATAATTAATCATTATTTTTTAAAAAAAAATTAATATAAAATAATAATAAAAATTTAGCTCTTTATAAATCTAATTTTGATATAAAAATTTCTTTTATATTTAAAAAAAAATGGAATTTGTCACGATTTTCGTAACAAAAGAAATATTTTTATAATAACTATTATAATAATTTGAATTTTCAATAAATAACTAGATTTTTATATTATCTATATAATTAAAATTTATAGTTTCAATTTTTAGAAAATTCTATCGATAAATAAAGAAAATGCACGGTTACGCACAGACGAATTTTGTATGTAAAAATGATGACCCACTCGATAATAAACCACGTTATAGTAATAATCCGTATTTTTAGTTTTCTAAGTTCTGATATAGAGATACGATAACTCTCACCTATACGTGGTATATCCTACGAACCTTCGATCGTGTGATCGGAGAGCTAAGTAGAGTCAGCTGGAGCTAGATGGTGGTTGTATATTAATTGGAGATTGTACTAGGAGTGAAGGTATATACAATTAATTATTAGAGAATAATTGTGAAGATATTTAGAATAAAGGATTATTAATAAAATAGAGATGAAAATTATTTGATGGTAAAAAAGAAATGAGAGTAGAATTAATATAGAACTATATCTTTACGAATCTGTGTGGGGAGTAGAGCTAGAATATATCATAGTAAAGTATTTGTAAAATGGAACTAGTCTTTGAAATAGTAAATAATAAAGCTTTTATAATATAGCTGAGTCTAATTAAAACCTGTGTTGGGAGTAAAGTCGATATTTTTAATTTGATAAATAAAAATCAATAAAATATCTTTAAAGCATTAGTGTGTAGAGTTTTCATAATCCAATAATATATATAATCTACGGGTATACTGGATTGGATATAGAAAAGACGTGTAGAATAGGTAGATTTATTGGTATTAAGTGTAGTGCATATTCTATTAAAAGCTATATACAATCCAGTTGACTATATCAATCAAGATGATTATGTAATACGCCTAATGCATTTAGCCTGCTTTCTAAACCGATCCTACAAGACATACACCCTCGCATACATATTCTAATTAAGCTAAAATAAATCCTATTTCCGTATTCCTTTTATATATACTATAATGGCCATATAGTATACTTAGTCCTCTTATTCTGTTGATTAATCAATGATCATCATGGGAATTCACCCATATGTCAGCTTATTATTATATTTAAATTAAATGAATAATAAAATTCGCCAAATTGATAGCTAAAGTATTTGTAGTTTATTATTCTAATATAACTTTACTTATTTTGGACAAAGTTAAAATATAGATTTTATCCTTTCCTAAAAGAGAAAAAGAAAAAAGACCGATTCTACAAGATAGGTAGTACAGCTTGCCATACACCAATTCCTTCTTGTAGGTTAAATGAAAGAGTGGATTTATAAGTGTCAACTTGTAGATTCTAATATTCCGATATATTATCCTCGAATAGTACGTATAGGTGTCCGATTCGAGACTTGAAAGGTTTTAAATAGTCAATATAAAACAATCTGTGAATAGCTTTTCTATTGATTTATTGCAATTTATAGGATTTCTGATAATCTCCTGTAAAACCGACAATGACAAAGGGATCACGGTAGGAGGGGTATAGTTTCTTCTTAACTAAGGCACCGTCATACAACATGACTATATCTCCTGGTTAGTACGTAAAATTACCTCGTACACCCATATCGTGTTTTTCCTTATTAACAGCTTTCTTCCAGTCGGATCGTTCTAGAGCTTTCTATCTGATTAGCTCCCGATTGTACATAAATTCGAAAACTTTAGTATAATATATTTCAAAAAGAAACTCCTCATTAACATTCTCAATAATAAGGAGGTAATTCTATACTACCTTTTATTTGTAAAAAGGGTATTCGATTTCTAAAGAGCCGATTGATTAAAAACCGAATATGATTTTGTGAGGGGAATGATCTAAATATAATACTTCTCGTATATTGAGAGAGTTAATATTAGCTTGAACCTCAAATGGCTAATCAGTAATACCAGATTCGATCTTTTTAAGTATTCTTTGAAATAGATCGTTTCCTTTTTCGACCATTCCAAACGACTTTTTCGCTTCGATAGCTGTAGAAATGAGGAGCATACCGGATTTTTTAGAAAAACTGTATAGAGTCTTATTTTCAAAATATATACCGAGATCATATATTCCTCCAATAGGAACTTTAATTGTATTAAAAAGCCAATTTAGATATCTAATAGTCTCTGCTCCTGTAACACCAACTATTAGGAATGCCCAAATATAACGAGAGAAGTAGTTGATGATTAGTAAAATATAAGTGAAATTGAGGTATCCTTCTTTATCGAATATACTATCGTTGTAGTCCATATTTTCAGTGGTAAGTCCCATGTTTATTAGTTTCTATACTACAGGCCAAGTCATATTTAGAATCTGAGCTTTATTGATTGATATAGGTAAAAATGGTCCTATAAAATCAAATCCGATAAGAGTAAATGGATAATTAATCTTAAAAAATATTAAGTAAGAGATACACTATCGAATACTATACTTAGTACACTTCAAATAACCTAAAATGTACTGCTTGACATCTAAAACTAGATAAGGCTAATAATGGTTTCTAAGCTTTTTGATAATCAATTTCGTAGTGAAATGTCCTTCCTAATTATATATATATAATAGGATATCAGATACCTTGTATCTTTATATACAACACTTATTAACTTTATAGAATATATAAAAAAGTTTGTTTTTGAATAAGAAAAAATCCTTAGTATAATATAGAAAAGATGCCTTTTCAAAATAGAAATCCTATCGGGAAATGTATTAATAGAAATGTAGTTGAATATATTGTAATACCACAAATTATCCTCATACTTACTTGAAATTAGTTCAAAAGAGATATTGTTAGTAATAACTATAAGTTGATCTAATACTACAATATCCAGATTATCTCCAAAAGATTGTAATGTATTGTAATCTACAATAACTTAAAGTTATTTGATTTTATATAGATGAAGGAGTTCTTTGTAATTATCAATTCTGTCTTTTCAAACTCATTTAGAATTCCTATTGTTTTCTTGGAATGAGCCGAGAGAGTCTAAAAGTAAATTCAACTTACAATT